TCATGCAGTTCTCCATGGCTCACCTCATTATGTATACGCACCACATCCCTTTGGTGCTGCACTCTTTTGCATCTGAGGGTATAAAGGCAGCATGGGTGACATTTCATTGCAACTTGAGTTGTAAATGTATTGTTTCTTTAAATCACTAACTGTCTGACTGACTGTCACTGTAACTTCAACGATAAGAATGAAGCTGCACAGGCACCCCATATCATGTTAGAACCCTGCCTGAATGAGTGCTACTGGTTACCTAATACATGACACAGCATAACATTGTCATTGTTCAATGCATCATAAGTTATAAAGCCTTCAAATAATTGATCAGGTTAACTTTTATTGAACAAGGGGAAATCAAAGAAAAGAACAAGCAGGAAAGCTGCTTTTGCTTTGGGAATAAATAGGGGCTGCTTGCCTTGCAAAAAAACAACACATTTACAGTTGATGAATGATAACTTAACCCAATTTACATATGTTGGAGCCAAGTGTCTGGTTTTTTTGCACCCAAAGCTGCCCTGCTCTGTCAAACTGAAGGTCAAGTTCCTTCTGCTTCATGTTTAAGGGGAGCAGATGGCATAGTGGTATTATCATTAAACTATTAATCCAGAAACTCAGCAAATGTTCTGGAGGCCCAATCTGGAACCTCATGGCCTGGCAAATACCCCACTCAACCATTACCATTAAGCTGGGGATCAATCCTGGTTCAGTGAACAGTGAAGCAGGGCATGCCAGGAGCAACACTAGCCATACCTAAAATTGAGGTTCCAACCTGGCAAAGCTACCAAACAGGACTATTTGCATGCTGAACATCATAAGCAGCAAGTAATAGACAGAGCTAAGTGATCCTACAACCAATGGAGCAGATCTAAGCTCTGCAGTCCAGTTTGATCCAGTCATGAGTGGTGGTGGACAAGTAAACAACTCACTGAAGGAGGACGCTACACAGATATTCCCATCCTCAGTAATGGAAAACCCCAACATATCAGTGCAAAAGATAAGGCTGAAGTATTTGTAGCAATCTTCACCCAGAAGTGCCATGGGGATGATCATCTCAGCCTCCTCCTGTTGTTCCTAGCATCATAGATTCCAGCCTTCAGACAATTTAATTAACTCCACATGATACTAAGAAGCAGTTGGAGGCACTGGATACTGCAAAGGCTATGGGCCCTGACAGCATTCTGGCCACAGTACTGAAGACTTGAGCTCCAGAACTTGCCACTCCCTGAATTAAGCTCTTCAAGTACAGTTACAACACTGGCATCTACCCAACAATGTGGACAATTGCCAAGGTATGTCCTGTACACAAAAATCAGGACAAATCCAACCCAGCCAATTACCAGCCCATCGGTCTATTCTCGACCATCAGTAAAATGCTGAAAGGTGTCATCAACAGTTCTGTCAAACAGTACCTGCTCAGCAATAACCTGATGCCAGTGCTGGGCTCAGATGGACAAAGTCAGAACTCACACGATACCAGGTTATAGTCCAACAGGTTTATTTAAAATCACAAGCTTTCTGAGTGCTGCTCCTTCATCTCATGAAGTCCCTGCTCAGTGATGCCCAGTTTGAGTTTCACCAGGGTCTCTCAGCTCCTGACCTCATTACAGCCTTGGTTCAAACTTGTACAAAAGAACTGAATTCCAGAAGTGAAGTGAGAGTAATAACCTTTAACATCAAGGACACATTTGACCGAATGTGGCATCATGGAACCCTAGTAACACTAGAATCAAAGGGAGCAAACTCTCTGGTGTTTGGAGTCATACCTGGCAACTTCAAAGACTATGATTTATATCATTTAGAAGGACAAGGGCAGAAGATGCATGGAGACATCACTATCTGGGGGGCACTGCCCTAGTGGTATTATCGCTTGACTATTAATCCAGAAACTCCGCTATGTTCTGGGGACCTGGGTTCAAATTCCACCACAGCAGATGGTAGAATTTGATTTCAATAGAAAAATATCTGGAATTAAGAATCTACTTATGTCCATGAAGCCATTGTTGATTGTCAGGAAAAAAAAATCTCATTCACTAACGTCCTTCAGTGAAGGAAATTTGCCAACCTCACCCGGTCTGGTCTACATGTGACTCCAAACCCACACAATGTGGTTGACTCTGAATTACCCTCCAAAATGGCTAGCAAGCCATTCAGTTGTACCAATTGCTACAAATTCTCTTCAACAGCAACTGCGGATGGGCAATAATTGCTGGCCAGCCAGCGATGCCCACATCCCAAAAATGAAATTTTTTAAAACCTACAAGTTCCCCTCCAAGCCTCAAATATCTTGCCTCGGAACTATATCTCCATTCCTGATTGTTGATAAGTCAAAATCGTGGAACTCCTTTCCTAACAGCACACCAAGTACCACAGCAGTTCCAGAAGTCAGCTCACTAACACCCTCTCAAGGGTAACTAGAAACAGGCAATTGATGCTGCCCTGCCCAGCTGTGCCTACATCCTAAGAAAGAATGTATTAAACAAATGAGAACTTACTTTAAGATGCTTCCTGCCTGCAATTGGAGTTCAGCCTGTCTCAGTACCCTTCAAAATCAGTGGTTGGCATTGGGTCTCTCTACCATCACCTGGTTCAACCCATCCAACCCTGAGAACTCCAAGAATGAGACTCTTTGTTTCAATAGTCTACACAATGATACTAATTCCTGTTCAGTTCTTATATATAGTTGTCTGCAAAGGGTCAGGATTGGGAACAATCCAACCATGTCCAGTCTTCCCACCCCTTGAATAGTGATGAAATGTTGGACTAATGTAAAGACAAGATGTAGTGATTGCTAACACAATAGCTGGCATCTTCATGCATAGTTTGCTGCATTTGATCACAGGCCTCCTGCATAAGAACTGAATTAGAGTGAGGGAAGAGCATGTACAACCCTGTCGTGTAACATGCCTAAAATGTGACATAGCTGGTTGATTAATTTGACACAATTCCATTGCTGTTGCTTGAAAAAATACAGAGAAATAATTGTTGGAGGCTGCCACCACATTGACAGTCTGATTCCAGAGTCAACTCTCTTGGGAGTTAGTCTGAAAATTGATCTTTAAAAAATCCACATTTCCAGTCAAAGATTTTTAAAACAGATGATTTTAGAGATAAGTATGGACAGAAATGTCTAAATACTCTGTAGGCAGGGTAGAAGAAATTTTACTAAAGCCAAAATAATGTAGATTTTGGTATAAAACTGTTTGCGTTAAATATATATTATTTATATATTATATATATACTATTTATATATAAATAGAATCTTTTACCTGATTCTTAGAAATTTTACCCACAATATTCAACTCCCTCAGGACGTGGAGAAATTAAACGAAATCTATACACACATATTGTACATGGCCTGTTAGATGAGGTGGAATTTATATTTTCTCATTTCCCAATCTTTGATTCACAGAACTGAAAGTATTGCAGGATTTGTTTTGGGAAAGCATGTTGGTTCAGTTCTTTACAAGAGATGAAGCTCAGAAAGACATTGTAAAAAGCAAAAAAAATAAATTTAGTTCTTGTTGTATAAGGCATTAGTCCTGAAGGGGATAGTGTTCACACTGTCTGTGGGTGACTACTCCCAGCTTTTAGAAGAAGCAGAGGTACCTATACCAGCCCCCTAAGGTGCTAGTAATTATCGCTGACTAAATATAGTTGCACTTATTGCTAATATGCAATAAACATTTCCATATCTACGAAACAGTGTCTGTTCATCTCACTCTCTCCAGCCATTATGTTTTAATTGGGTGATGATTATTCTTTCAATAATAATTCATGTTGATTCCTATCTTTATCATCCACACTTTAAGTAAAATTAAGTCTCTCTGATGCACCAAAAATGGTAAATTTTGATCAACTGAGAATATATTAACTAATTTGAAAACAAAGACTCTAAGAGAACATATAATGCATTTGTATATGGGCTTAAGAATCCAATTTTAAGCATATCACAGCTTTGACATGTTCACTGCGGTCCAAATCAAACCATATCTATGTAGGCCTGTCATAAATTGATCTGACGTTATTTCTGCATTACAGTCCTAAACTTAAAAGAGTTTTTTTAAAACTTCCTTCATGTTACAGTAAATAGATATGGATATTTCCTGAAGTAGAACATCTTGTAACTTCCAAACAATTTCTATTTTATAACTGATTTATTGCTCTTTCTCTTCTGCCCTTCCTCTTTTCTGAGGATGACAGCTGTTGCTGGGGTACAACTTCCATGGGGCTAAGAAGAAATGCCTCACAACCAGACTAAATCTTGTCTGAATCTGACATCGCACTGGTATTCTATCTAGCAAGAGTCACAAAGAATATGCTTAAAAACAAGAGTTGGGCTTCAGGATCACTAAGGTGAATAGCTGCCATTTCTCTGCTTTTGGCATATTCAGGACCAAGAATCAAGATGCGTCTGTTATATTTTGACATTCTCAACTAAGTTGTTGTGGAGTAAATATAACTAAAGTTTAAAGGTTCAATCTGCCCTATAATTTCAATCTTCCCTGCTAACTCAAGCACACATTGTGTAGATTGAAATACAAAATTGTCATTTTAACAATTCCTAAACAAATTTATCAATAATTATCCTTGAATAAATCTATTGGGAAAGACCAGGGCTTTGACTTGACATATCATTGATTCATTCTTTACAAAAGGTGCAAATAAAGAATGGCCCTGCAAAGGACATAATATCAACAGTGCTGCAAAGTCCTGGTAACATTGGCACAGGTTATTTATTAACAAGTGATTAGATGTGTAAGAATATTCTGCCAGAATACAAACTTGCACAATGTACGAGCTGAATTACAAGCCAACGTTCATTTGTCTTTTGACTTGAATGGTGTAGGGCATTCTGAGCCTTTTAGTTGAAAATTGAAAGGGTCTCAATGTCATACAAAGGGTGGACTAAGCTGCAGATTAATCAGAAATAGACAAATCTTTCTGTGCAATTCCCGAGTGCAGGCTCTCTATGATGCTTTAGGAATAAGGTGGACAGCGCTTACCTGCCAATCTGCTTCTGTCTTCTCCTGCAACAACAACAATCCAGTCTCTCTGAATTGTGATTCCCACAGCAGTACTTGCTAGATTTGCAATGTTGGCAATGGTAATAACCAAAATGTAGCAGAAGGTCTATAAAAGTTTTACATGAAAAGAGCATGAGAAATACAGTTGATTAAATAGATCCACATTTATATATCTTCTTGAAAATAACATCAATAATACACACGTTTTATTTATAGGATACGATCTTGTTTCAAATTATTGATATGCTTATGTTTGTTTGTTAACATGAGAAAAATTTACTCCTATCAAGGGCTTCTAGTAAACAAGTTAGATATCTGAGGTATGTCCTGTTTATGTCTCTCATTGAGTTAGGGGAGTTGCACTTGTTCTCTGGACACTGCCCTCCAAACCTAGAATTCTGGTCACCATCTACGGCAAGGTTACATGACTTAAATCACAGAAAAGAGCAACATGACCCACTAACATTAGCCATTTGTAAAATGACAGAGACCTGCAGAGCTTTGGATCAATAATCTGGAAGACTAGCTAAAAACAGCTTAATCTGAAAGTTATCAAAGATTCTTACTGATGCCGGCACATTAGGCTTTCTCCTCTTATTTTTAAGAATCCAACTTTGACAGTAATTTGAAAATGTACAAAAATGTTCTGACAATATTTGCCTTCAATTTAATGCAAACACAGTAAGCAAGAATTGCGTTTTGTGTCAGCATAACCTTTCTCATGACCTCCACAGATAGCATTTTGTAATGACTATGGAAATTGCTAGTGTGCTGAAACAGCGGACAATGGCAGTCTGCAATTGCATTTACTCTGTTCTACAGCAGTACAATAGTCTAAAGGAAGTTGATTTAAAACAGAAAAACAAAAGTACTGGAAAGTGTTGGAAACAATTTAAATTATCACACTCCCGTAATTCTGGATGTTACTAGGGTAAAGGATGGAACACTTTGGCACATGTGCAGGGCAGTGTGTTATCCAGATTTTTTGATGACAGACTTCTCCATTTGGATCTGTGCAGGCTTGTTTCTTTCTCATTTTGTGGGGCCCAACAAAGAGGCTCTGAGATTGGCTTTCAGAATGTATTTGTATCTAAGTTTGTCATGTCATATATTGTGAGTTCCTGTGCGCAGCTGGCTGCAGAATGCTGCCTTTGGCATGCAGGAATGCTCCATGCAATTAACATGACTGACTCGATGAAGCAGACCGCTGAAAGGCATGCTCTTGATATTGCGGCACCCTGCAAGGTCTTCAGTGTTAAGTATTTTGTTCTCCAAGTTGCTGTTGCAAAAACATTATAATGGATGCTTTCCAACACCAACACATCATTCCTGGATGTGGGGCCCAAAACCCCTTACAATATTCCAAATGTGGTCTGACCAGAGCCTCATACAGCCTCAGCAGTTCATGTCTGCTGTAAATTCTGGCCCTCTTGAAATGAATACTAACATTGCATTTGCTTTCCTAACTCCCCACTGAATCTGCATGTTAACCTTAAGAGAATCCTGAACTAGGGCTCCCAAGTCTGTTTGTTTTTGAGATTTCTGAAGCCTTTCTCCATTTAGAAAATTGTCTACATCTCTATTCTTCCTACCAAAGTGCATAACCTCACACTTTCCCACATTGTATTCTATCTGCCACTTCTTTGCTCACTCTCCTAGCATGTCCAAGTCCTTCTGCAGCCTCCCCACTTCCTCAACACTACTTGTCCCTCCAACTGTCTTTGTATCATTTGTAAACTTAGCAACAATGCCCTCAGTTCCTTTGTCCAGATTGTTAATGTATAATGTGAATAGTTGTGGTCCCAACACTGACTCCTGCAGAACTCCATCAGTCACCAGCTGCCATCCCTTTATCCCCACTCTCTGTCTTCTGCCAGTCAGCCAATCCTCTATCCATGCCAATACTATGCCCCTAACACCGTGGGCTCTTATCTTATTTAACAGCTTCCTGTGTGACACCTTGTCAAAGGCCTTCTAGAAATACAAGTAGATCACGTCCACTGGCTTTCCTTTGTCTAACTTGCCTGTTACCTCCTCAAAGAATTCTAACAGATTTGTCAGACATGGCTTCCCCTTTCTTTTGAAATTCTAGTATGTTGCTCGTATCTTCTAATGTGAAAACTAATGCAAAGTACCTGTTCAGTTCCTCCGTCATTTCTTTGTTTCCTATTACTACATCTCCAGCCCCATTTTTCAGTAGTCCAATGTCCACTCTTGCCTCACTCTTACCTTTTAAATATCTACAAAGCTCTTGCAACCTTCTTTTGTTACAGTAGCTAGCTTACCCTAATATTTCATCTTCTCCCCACTTATTGCTTTTTCTAGTTATCCTTTGCTGGTTTTAAAAGGCTTCCAAATCCTCTGGTCTCTCTCTAATCTTCAACACATTGTCTGCTTTTTCTTTATTTTTATGCTGTCCCTGACTTCCTTTGTCTGCCATGGTTGTTTCATCTTCCCTTTATATGTTTCTTCTTCCTTGGGATGAATTTCTGCTGTGCTTTCCAAATTTCCCACAGAAACTCCTGCCATTGCTGCTGCACCGTCTTCCCTGCTATGCTCCCCTTACTATCAACTCTGGCCAGCTCCTTCCTCATGCCTTTGTAGTTACCTTTACTCAATTGTAATACCATTGCATCTGATTCCAGCTTCTTCCTCTCAAACTACAGGGTGCATTCTATCATGTTATGGTCACTGTCCCCAAGGGGTTCCTTCACCTGAAGTTCTCTAATCAACTCTGCCTCATTACACATCAAATCCAGAATTGCCCATTCCCTAGTGGGTGCTACCACAAGCTGCTCCAAAAACCATTACATAAACATTCCAAGACTTCCTTTCCTCAACATCAGCTACCATCCTGATTTTCCCAGTCCACCTGCATATTGAAGTCCTCATGATTATTGTAATAGTGCCTTTCTGACATGCCTATTCTATCTTCTGGTTTATTTCCTTCTCCACATCCTGACTACAATCAGGAGGCTTGTACACAACACACACAGATTCTATACCTTTCGACCCTATTTCACTTCTTGCCAGTGATTAAATTTCATTTCTTACTAACAAAGCGACCTCTGGCTATCTGTCTCTCCTTTCGATAGGACTGTGTATCCTTGGATATTTAGTTACCAGCCCTGATCCCCTTGCAGCCACATGTCTGTGATGCCCACAACATCATACCCATCAATTTCAATCTGCAGTACAAGCTTATTTACCTTGTTTCTTATACTGCATTTCAATACAACACGCTCAGTCCTGCATTGACTGTCCCCCTTCTCATATTTACTTTAAAGCCTTATCCCCAGCCCTAGATATGTGATTTGCCAGGGCTCCGGTCCCAGCATGATTCAGGTGGAGTCCATCCATTGGAAAACTCCCTCCTTCCCCAGTATTGGTGCCAATATCCCATGAATTTGGACCTATTTCTCCCAAACCAATCTTTGAGCCATGCGGTTACCATGTTTAATCTTGTTGACCCTGTGCAAATTTGCTCGTGGCTCAGGTGGTAAGCCAGAGATAATTACATTTTTGGTTCTGCTTTGTAATTTAGCCCCTAGCTGCTCATATTTGCTTAGCAGAACTTCTTTCCGCTTTCAACCTATATCATTGGTTCCCACATGGACCACAATAACTGGATCTTTCCCTTTCCACTCCAAATTCTTCAACAGCTCAGATGTGATATCCTGAACTAGGGCACTCGGCAAGCAACACAGCCTTTGGGACACTCAGTCCTGATCATAGAGAACATTGTCTATTCTCCCGACTATACTATCCCTGATTACAGCTACATTTCTCTTCCCTCCCCTCTTGAATGGTTCCCTGTACCATGGTACTGTGGTCAGTTTACTCATCCTCCCTGCAGACCCCACTCATCCATACAGGGAGCAAGAATTGCAAACCTGTTAGACAAGCTCAAGGACTAAGGCTCCTTTAGCACTACTTCCTGGATCCCTCACCATGCATCGCTCATAGTCACACCCTCCTGTCCCTGACCACTGATTGAATTTGAGATAGTTAAGCTAAGAGATGTGACTATATTACTTTTGTGAAACTAGTAGATTGTCCATTCCTCACAGCTGTAGAGAAGTACCTAGTTGGTTTTAATCTTTGTTTTGAGACAAATTCCATGTTCTCTCTAAATCCTGTGAGTAAGCCTGCCAAAAGTTGAGCTAGCTTTCAGCAGATGATGGGCTGTTTCGTCATCCAACATGGTATGATTGGAGAAGGTACTCCTCAGAGAGAGAAAACCTCTGGACTGAATTGAGGACTATATTCTTGATTGTGACAGGAGCCATTCAAGAAAGTTCTCATGGGCAATTAGGGATAGACAATATGCAACATGCACATCCCAAAAATAAATTTTAAAGAAAAATATATACAGAGCACTGCTGGGAAGGGAATTCCATGATTTTCACCTAGCAACAGTAATGGAACACCAATATTGTTCAAATTCAGAATGTTCTATGTCTTGAAAGGGAATGTACAGTTGGTGGTATTCCTATACTTCCACCATCCCTGTCCTTCTAGCTGGTAAACAGCATGCATTTGAAAACTTAAGGTGGTAGATGGGTTGCCAAACAAGTGGGTTGCTTTGTCCCAAATGATGTCAAACTTCTTGAGTGTTATTGGAACTGCACCGATCCAGGTGAGTGAAGTGTATTCCATAATATTTCTAATTTGTGTCTCATAGGTGATGGAGACTGGGGAGACAGACGCTGAGTTATTTATCACAGAATTCCCAATCTCTGGCCTGCTATTACTGGCACAGTATTTATATAACTGACCCAATTCAGTTTTGGTCCATGGCAACACCCCAAATCCACCCCGCCAGGATGATAGTGTGGGCTTCAGTAACAGTAATGCTGTTAAATATTAATGAGATATGGAATTGGTCATTGCCTGGCATTCTGTCGCACAAGTACTACTTGACACATATCATCCTTAGTCTGGATATTGTCCAAATTTTGCAGCATACGGGCATGGACTGTTTCAGTATCAGAGTGGTACTGCACACTGTGCAATCATCAGTGAACATCTCTACTTCTGATCTTATAATGGAGAAAGGCATTGTTCACAACTATATCTGCTTAGCGTGCATCTGTATTTATACTACTTCAGTAAAGGCTTGGCATGGTTGAACATTTCAAAGTGGAAGCACTGAACAACTGAAATAACAACTTACAAGTAACCATCCATGGTACATGGTGCTGAGAGAAGTTTTAAATAGGAAAACGATCATCAGGATGACACCACAAATGATGACTGAGACATTTTGAATAATCAAGGATGTTTGGGCAACTATGGATTGAAAAAGGATTCAATTAGTTATTTTGAAAATTAGTTATTATTATTCACAATGTAATTTTGGAAAATAAAAACCGACTAATATCGGTGCAATACGGTTTTTCCACAATTTTGTAATTTATACCATTCTAACATTTCACAATTTCTTCACGCAGATCATCAGGTATAAATAAAATATCTTAAGCATTCAAAAAAAAAGCAAAAAATATCCTTTGGAAGTGGAAGTCAGTTCTAGAGAGTACAGAAAGAGATTATAATAAAATTACTGACTCGTGAAATTTCACTTCCAATTGGGTTTACTTGACTTGAAGAACTAATTTATGAGATCTTGGCATCAGTGGAGCACTTTACTAGAAAAATGTGTCAAAAACTCATGAATACACTTCCCTCCATCCATATTTAGAACCACAGTCATACAGAATTGAAATAGGCCCTTCGGCCCACCATATCTACACCAAAGAACAAATGCTAAAATGTGCTTCTTAAATGTTGTGTAAGTACCTATTTCTACCATCCTCTCAGGCAAAATGTTCCACCTTTCCAATGCCCTCTGGGTTAAATTTTTTTTTCTTAGATCTCCTCTAGACCACTTATTCCTCACCTTAAAATTAAACCCTGTGGTCTCAGACAAATCACCACATAGAAGAGATTCTCACAATCTAACCGTATGCCTCATATAACTTTGCACACCTCAATCAGATTTCCCCTCTGTTCCAAAGGAAATAAACCCCATCTATCAAGTCTCTCCTCATAACTGAGATTTCTCATCACAGGCAGCATCTTGGTGAATCTCCTCTGCACCCTCTCCACTGCAATCACATCCTTCTGATAGTGTGGCGATCAGAACTGCACGCAGCATCTGTGGCCTAATCAACGCTTTATAAAGTTATATTAAGACTTCCTTGCTCCTATATTCTATGCCCCACCTAATGAAAGGCAAACATCTTGTATTCCAGCTTGACTATCCCACATACCTGTGCTGAAACCTTCAGGGACCTATGGACTCGTACACCAAGGTCCCTTTTTTCCTCCGTACTCACTAGGGACCTACCATCCATTGTGTATATCTTTCCTTTATGAGACCTCCCAAAATGTATTACCTTGCGCATTGCTCTGCTCAATTTACCAGCTGATCAATAACAGACGGTAGCCTGACACCATCCTCCTCACTATCAACAACACCACCAATTTTTGTGTCATCAGCAAATTTATTAATTATACCTTCCACATTCACATTCAAGTAGTTAGTGTACATAACAAGGGTCCCAGCACCAATACCTATGGTACACCACTGGTTAAAGGCTTCTAATCACAAAACCATCCCTCCAATATCACTTTTTGCCTCCTTTTTATAAACCAATATTGTCAAACTTGCCTTGGATTCTGTGGGTCCTTACCATGTGGGATCAGCTTTCCATGTGGGATCTTGTCAAAGGCTTTTCTGAAATCCTTGTAAATTACCTCAACTGCACTACTCCATCAATATATTTAGTCACTGTTCCAAAAACTCAACTAAATTAGTCAGACAGGAGCTCCCTCTAACAAATCCAAGTTGACTATCCCTGATCAATCCCTGCCTTTCCAAGTATTGATTTACCCTGTCTCTTCAAATTTTTTTTCTGATTGCAGATATTCCATCCATTAATGAAATGCTCATAGTTTCACAATGTGTACTTTAAATAGATGAGTTTCTATGCCAGTAGCTCAACTCATACAGTTAGAACTCATGTATCAGTTTTCTGTTTGCAAGAAAGTAGTTTAAGATTGCTGTACAATTGATCCCTTTTGGTAGTCTTACTTTATTGTTATAAAACTCTAAAGATTGTAATAGATCATTGTTTTCCTTTGTTTATGATTTTACATTAAAATATAGGATGAGACTTTACATTCTTTTGTGTTCTTTACTTGTTTTCTAGTTTCACTGCTTTAGTGCATGCCTTTCTCTGCTCAGGATTATTCAAATTCTTCTAATAATATAAATGTGGTGATTTCACCTATGATGCACCTCATTTGATTTTTGGAAAGAACATATTTTTCACTAAATAGTATAGCACAACTGCAATTGAGGATAGAAAGAAGGGTTGTAGAATTAATGGTTTTGGGTGGACGCCGACTAGACACTACACTCAATTCCTTTCCACTGAATTTCACTGATTGCAATAGCTGAATGTTTTGTTGAACTGACCTCTCTGCTGAGGAAGTGTAAAGAAAGTTGTGCAATCATGGCTGCCTGCAGCTGAGCACGTCTTAATTAACCTTACTAAGTGCAATATTTAACAGAATGGGCGCAGATGTTAGCACGGATGCTTTGAAGTGCCAGGGATCTGGGTTCGAATCCACTCCGGGGCAACTGTCTGTTTGAGTTTGCACATTCTCCCCGTGTCTGCGGGGGTTTCCTTCGGGTGCTCTGGTTTCCTCCCACAGTCTGAAGATGTGCAGGTTATGTGGATTGGCCACGCTGAAAATTGCCTCATGGTGTCCAGGCATGTGCATGTTGGATGGTTTAGCCATGGCAAAAACCCCGTGTGGGGATGGGATGGGATTGGGTGGGGGAAATGCTCTGCGGACGGTCAGTGTGGACTCAATGGGCCGAGTGGCCTCTTTCTGCACTCTAAAGATTCTATGAATGATGGTGATGACATTGGAATGGAATTTTCATTCAGCCTTAGAATCGTAGAGTCATAGAGCTGTACAGCATGGAAACAGACCCTTCGGTCCAAATCATCCATGCCAACCAAATATCCTAAATTAATCTAGTCCCATTTGCCAGAATTTAGCCGATACTTTAAACCCTTCCTATTCATGTACTCATCCAGATGCCTTTTAAATGTTGTAATTGTACCAGGGTCCATCACTTCCTCTGGCAGCTCATTTCCATACATGCACTACCCTCTCTGTGTGAAAAAGTTGCCCCTCAGGTCCCTTTTAAATCTTTCCTCTCTCACGTTAAACCTATGCCCTCTAGTTTTGGAATCCCCTAATTTGGGGAAAAGTCCTGGGCTATTCACCCTATCCATGCCCCTCATGATTTTATAAACTCCTATAAGGTCACCCCTCAGCCTCCGACACTCCAAGGAAAATAGCCCCAGCCTCTTCAGCATCTCCGCATAGCTCAAAGCCTCCAACTGTTGTAAATCTTTTCCGAACCCTTTCAAGTTTCACAACATCCTTCCTACAGCAAAGGCCAAAGTCCTGTAACCAATATCCTGTACAACTGCAACATGACCTCCCAACTCTTACACTCAGGTAATGACTGAAAAACATTGCAACACATTCTTGTGCTGCTGAAATTGATTTTGAGGAAGTTTGAGCAATTTGGAAATCTAATCCTTGGGCACGTGATATTCTGATACACAGTGAAGCAGCACAGTATGCAATTTTTAAGAAAAAGCACTGAAGATATACTTAGGAGCAATAGGGGGTTTCAAACCTAATGGGGAAAATTGGAATAATTGTGAATTAAGCTTGAAGTCAATAAAATAGGATGTGAGGATAAACTAAATATTTTCACTGTGATTGGGCTAAATTATTTGAGGTGGTGTCTAACCAAAATTACCTGTGAGGTTCCTAATAAAATGGCCAATTCTGAAATGAATGAGGTTCAGGACCCATATTATGGCATGACTAACCATGAGGTTTGCATTGAGTGTTGCACTGCAAGAAAGGACATAGTTATTAAATGAACCTGTTGCAGATTAGATCATTCACTCAAAGAAACTCTCACATCACTGTAGGTATGAAACAAACTTAGAAATCAGCCTTGAAGATTGATTTTTTTGTTCCTTGGGCCACCTACAAACCTAAATCAAGAATTTGAGGAAATGTATAGAAAGCTGACATAGAAGGAGGCCTGCGATGAGACCATTGCTATAGAAATGGCAGAAAGGGTTAGTTGTAAATTCCACAAAGGAGCTCTTTTCTGAGCCAGCAAAAGAGTTCTACCAGATTTCTGCAAGATTCAGACCACAAAAGCCAAAGTTGCAGCGTCATAATCAAAAATTTAAAGTATATTATTTCCATGGTAGCCACCAACCACTAAAATTCTGCTGTTTGCTATCAAAGCCTATAATGAGTCGGTCAAATCCAGACTGCATGCTGGAATAGGTGAAATAGTAATGCTCCTTAGGACATATTGATTCACTGGGCTGAGGTTGTAGTAGATCAAAACTAGATCAGGAGATTGGAAATCCCTGAAGGTGCATATGATCAAAAGTGGATCTGAAGGTGATGTTATCAAGCAGGAAAGTCAAAATTTGAACTCAGTCTGGGAACAAGAACAACTTTTGGTAGAAGACAGCAATAGAGCTGATGGTAAAGTTCAGCACACTAGAAATGGAAGTTGAAAAAACGGAACTGGTTATGTCCAGCAGTGTCTCTTACTTCAGAAGGAGATAACAAGAAGTCCCTAAGTCGCATGCAAAGATCTTGTGAAAATGACTAGTTATTCCAATCAAAGTGTTCCAGTGTTAGAATATATCCCACTACTTCATAGTAGGAAGGAAAACATCCTCCCTGATGGGAAGGAATTGATTTCAGAAGATAAGGTTAAAGTGAGTCAAGTTATTTAAAGTAGGGATCAGTAAGATTCTGCTTGTCATTGTGGAAGTGCTAAGAGAACACCAAGTGATAAAACCTAGCATCACAAGACAGAAGTCAAGACAAAAGGACAATTTACACCTGACAATTTTCAAGTCCATACAAGTGCCTTCTGCACAGTCAGAAGCATTGGGTAAAGAGCTAAATAAACTAAAAAGATTGGGGAGCAATTGAAAAGGTTAAGACCAGTGAATGGGCCGCATCCATTGTGATATTTAAAAAGCAGATGGATCCTTTTAGATTTGTGAAGATTGTAACTAAACAGTAAATAAGCTGATTGAGAACAATACTTTACCGACTGCCTACCAATGAAGATTTATTTCCTACTTTAGCCCCTGGAAATGCCATCAGTGTATTATATTTTGTCAAACGTGTAATTATAATTAGAATTAACTGAC